GGAGTCACGTAAATAATTTTTCTTACCATGAGTATATACGTGACTTTGGTACACACTATACTGCCTTCTCCTGAATGTATTTTGTCACATCTTTTTGCGATGGAAAGCTTTTTTTTTAAACACCTTTTTGGGTGTTTTTTTTTCCGGCATCATTGTGTGTCACACAAGCTCTAGTTCTTGTGTGTGTGTGTGTGTGTGTGTGTGTGTGTGTGTGTGTGTGTGTGTGTGTGTGTGTGTGTGTGTGTGTGTACTCACCTATTTGTGCTTGTGGGGGTTGAGCTCTGGCTCTTTGGTCCCGCCTCTTAACTGTCAATCAACAGGTGTACAGGTTCCTGAGCCTACTGGGCTCTATCATATCTACACTTGAAGCTGTGTATGGAGTCAGCCTCCACCACATTACTTCTTAATGCATTCCATTTGTCTACTACTCTGACGCTGAAAAAAATCTTTCTAACGTCTCTATGGCTCATTTGGGCACTCAATTTCCACCTGTGTCCCCTAGTGCGCGTGCCCCTTGTGTTAAGTAATCTGTATTTATCTACCCTATCATTTCCTCCGAGAATCTTGAATGTGGTGATCATGTCCCCTCTAACTCTTCTGTCTTCCAGCGACGTGAGGTTTAATTCCCGTAGTCTCTCCTCGTAGCTCATACCTCTCAGCTCGGGTACTAGTCTGGTGGCAAACCTTTGACGCTTTTCCAGTTTAGTCTTATCCTTGACTAGATATGGACTCCATGCTGGAGCCGCATACTCCAGGATTGACCTGACATATGCGACATACAAAGTTCTGAATGATTCCTTACACAAGTTTCTAAATGTCATTTTTATGTTGACCAACCTGGCATATGCTGCTGATGTTATCCTCTTGATATGGGCTGCAGGGGACAGGTCTGGCGTGATATCATCCCCCAAGGCTTTTTCTCTCTCTGACTCTTGAAGAATTTTATCTTCCAAATGATACCTTGTATCTGGTCTCCTGCTCCCTACACCTATCTTTTTTACATTACATATGTTTGGGTTAAACTCTAACAACCATTTGTTCGTCTATTCCTTCAGTTTGTCTAGGTCTTCTTGAAGTCTCATCCTTCTCATAATTTTGGCATCGTCAGCAATCATTGAGAGAAATGAGTCTATACCCCCCGGGAGATCATTTACGTATATCAGAAACAGGATAGGACAGAGTATAGAGCCCGGTGGGACTCCACTGGTGACTTCACGCCAATCTGAGGTTTCACCCCTCACTGTAACTCTGCTTCCTATTCTCTCCAGCTTATGTACCAGCCTCTTATGCAGTACTGTGTCAAAGGCTTTCCGACAATCCAAGAAAATGCAGTCCGCCCAGCCTTCTCTTTCTTGTTTAATCTTTGTCACCTGGTCATAGAGTTCTATTAAGCCAGTAAGGCAAGATTTACCCTCCCTGAACCCATGTTCGCGATTTGTCACGAAGTCCCTTGTCTCCAGATCTGTTACTAGGTTTTTTTCTCACGATCTTCTCCTTCTCCTTGCAAGCCTAGGACACTAGTCTGTAGTTCAGTGCCTCTTATATGTCACCTTTTTTGTATATTGGGACCACATTCGCCGTCTTCCTTTTTTCTGATAGGTCTCACGTCTCCAGTGACCTACTATACACTATGGAGAGTGGCAAGCAAAGTGCCTCTGCACACTCTTTCAGTACTCATGGTGAGATCCCGTCTGGACCAACAGCCTTTCTCACATCCAGATTCAACAGGTTCTCTTGACCTCATCTCTCGTAATTTCGAACCCTTCCAAGGCCGCCTGGTTTACTTCCCCTCTCCTAGCGCAGTGACCTCACCTTGTTCTATTGTGAAGACCTACTGGAACCTCTTGTTGAGTTCTTCACACATCTCTTTTTCATTCTCTGTATACCTGTCCTCGCATGTTCTAAGTTTCATTACCTGTTCTTTCACTGTTGGTTTCTTCCTGATGTGACTGTGGAGTAGCTTTGGTTGGGTCTTGGCTTTGTTTGCTATATCAATTTCATAATTTTTCTCTGTTTCTCTTCTCACGCTAACATACTCATTCCTGGTTTTCTAGTACCTCTCTCTCTCTGCTTTCTGGTGTTCTGTTATTTTGAAAGTTCCTCCACGCCCTTTTGTTCAGTTCCTTTGCTTCCATACATGCCTTATTAAACTATGGATTCTTCTTTTGCTTCTCCTTCTTTATCCGTCGGGATAAATATGTTTATTGCCTGACAGTTTTGGGTGACATAGTCCATCATGTCTTGTACAGACTTAGCTCTGAGGTCTGTGTCCCAAGGTATTTCCTTAAGGAAACTTCTCATCTCCCCATAATTCCCCTTTCGGTATACCAGCCTTTTGTTTCCTAGTTCTTTTTTGCGGGAGATAAATCCTAGCTCTACCAGGTACTCAAAGATCAATACACTGTGATTACTCATTCCCAAGGGCGCTTCCATCTTAACTTCCTTATATCGCTCTTATTTGGGGTAAATATCAGATCAAGCATGGCTTGATCTTCCCTTCTCATTCTTGTTGGTTCCTTCATGTGTTGGCTTAGAACGTTTCTTGTTGTCACGTCCAGCAGCATAACTCTTCATGTATCTGGTCCTCCATGTGGGTCTCTGTTCTCTCAATCAATCTTCCCGTGGTTGAAGTCACTCATTATTAGTAGTCCTGATCCATTCCTGCTAGCAACAGAAGCTGCTCTCTCTATTATGTTAATGGTGGCCATGTTGTTTCTGTCATATTCCTGTCTGGGTCTTCTGTCATTTGGTGGTGGATTATATATGACTACGACTATAATTTTTTTCCCTCCATTTGTTACAGTACCTGCTATGTAGTCAGTGAAACCTTCACAGCCCTGAATAACTACCTCCTCAAAACGCCAGCCTTTTCTTACCAGCAGAGCTACACCACCCCCACCTCTTCCTTCTCTCTCTCTTTCCTCACAACACAGTAGTCCTGTGGAAACACTGCATTTGTTGTTTTTTTCGTGAGCTCCGGACCTACCGATGCATAGAAAACGAATTTAATTTCTATTATTATAACAGTTGATTTGCTTATAGTACATTGGTTACCATTACGACATCATGTAGCACGGACTATGGTGAACCCGTAACTGAACACCCTCTGTACACTTCCCATGATCCACCATCCACCTATATAGTCACTATCCACCAGACTTCCATCTGGCTCCTCACTATACCAACCATCCACCACCCTTCCCCCCCCCCCACATCACCACCTCCCACGTCAGCCCACATCACCATCAGCCTCATAACATCACAACTATTTTCAACGAGTCAATAATGACAGGTGGGAGAGGTAACGATCGTCCGCGAACTGGTGGGTAATTAACCTGTCTAATGAGCTCTCGTTATCATATATGACTTGCATATATATATATATATATACATATATATATATATATATATATATATATATATATATATATATATATATATATATATATATATATATATATATATATATATGGTGCAGTAGTGTCTTCGTCCTGCCTTGGCAGAGCAGTAGGGAACCATAGAGGTCTGATATGTTGTTCTCTAGTTATGACTGGAATTTGAAGGAGTTAGGTGTGTGTGTTTTTCTTGCTCCCGTAGGTGGCTGAAGAAGAAGAATGTGTCTTATTAAGACGCTGGAATGGTTCCTCGTCTTATTAAGACGCTGGTATGGTTCCTCGTCTTATTAAGACGCTGGTATGGTTCCTCGTCTTATTAAGACGCTGGAATGGTTCCTCGTCTTATTAAGACGCTGCTATGGTTCCTCGTTTTATTAAGACGCTGGTATGGTTCCTCGTTTTATTAAGACGCTGGTATGGTTCCTCGTTTTATTAAGACGCTGGTATGGTTCCTCGTCTTATTAAGACGTTGGAATGATTCCTCGTCCGAGTATACATTCAACATACTACCTCTCTATGTTTCAAGAGAGTGTGTTGAAGCCAAAGAGTTGAATTCGCGGCGCTCCGCGAGCGAGAGGGCAGACTCGCTGAACCGCGATAGCGCCGGAGGTGGCAGCAGCGCCGCGTGTAATTATCCTCTCCCCCAACGGAACGAGGATAGAACCAGCTATATTAGTCCCGGGAGAAACATCACTCAGAGGAATAAAGTAGAAAGAAATTAAGCTGTCATGAGAAATTAAATTTTCTCCTGATATAGCAGTAATGATGCCTGTAAGTCAGGGCGGCGCTTGTCCGCACGGGTGAGGAATGGGCGGGAATCACGCGGGTTGTTGTGGCGGACCGCGGTGGGCGTCGAAGATCTGTGAGAGGAGGGTGTCGCAGCTCTGGGAGAGGTGGGAGGGGGGTGTGTCGTAGCTCTGGGAGAGGTGGGAGGGGGGTGTGTCGTAGCTCTGTGAGAGGGGGGTGTGTCGTAGCTCTGTGAGAGGGGAGGGGGTGTCGTAGCTCTGTGAGAGGGGGAGGAGGGTGTGTCGTAGCTCTGTGAGAGGGGAGGAGGGGTGTGTCGCAACTCTGTGAGAGGGGGAGGAGGGTGTCGCAGCTCTGGGAGAGATGGGAGGGTGGTGTCGTAGCTCTGTGAGAGGGGAGGGGGTGTCGTAGATCTGTGAGAAGGGAGGGGGTGTGTGTCGTAGCTCTGTGAGAGGGGGAGGGGTGTGTCGTAGCTCTGTGAGAGGGGCGGAGGGGGCTGTCGTAGATCTGTAAGAGGGGAAGGGAGGTGTCGCAGCTCTCTCCCATATAAGAGGCGTGTCGTCGTCGGCAAACGACGACACGTGGCCGAGCGCGACCAACCAGCTTCCCGCATTAGCTTCATCAGAAGGAAACACGACAAGTGGCGCCGCCCGCTGCCACTTATACATGCCCGGACAGGTGTGTGTGTGTGTCGTGTGTGTGTCGTGTCAAGAGGCAGTAACTCTCCGGGTGTTATTAGGTCCGGACTCGCTGCCCGGACCTAATAACCAATCCTAATCAACCCCCAATAATTGATGTAACGCAGCTGATCTATTCCCACATATCCATTTATTAATGTGACTCGTTTGTCTCGCCCGCCAGGTGTGGTTCCAGAACCGTCGCGCCAAGTGGAGGAAACAAGAGAAGGTCGGCCCGTCGACCCACCCATACGGCGCCTTCCCGCCCTCGACGCCCATGCCGCTGCAGAACCCCGCCCTCCCGCCCACCATCTCCAGCCCTTTTGCCGGCCTCGGCTACCCGCCCACGGCCAAGCACCTCGACCCGGCCGCCATGTTCCACGGGGGTAGAGTGCCGCCGCCGCCAGGCGCTTACCTGCCGCCAACCTCCGTGGCGGCCGCCGCCGCCGCTGCCGCCGCTTCTCAGCATCTCCTGCCGCCGGGCTCACACTACATGCACCCTTCTCTGGCCGTCCTGCGCGACCTGCAGTACAGGCCGCCTGCGCTGGCCCCGCACCTGCTGCCCTACACCCCATCCTTCACCTCCGTCCTGGCTCAATTATCGCAGCGCTCGAAGCTGGAAGCTTCTCCCTATCTGGCCAGCCTGCAGCCTTACCTTCCCACCCTAGCCGGCCTCCAATCCCACGCCTCCTCTCTCTCCCAATCCGGATTGGTTCCTCCCTTACCTTACTCTCCTCCCTTGACGGGGCCGCAGGGGCTGCAGGCGCACCCTCTCGCGCCCCTCCCTCTGCGCCGGGACGACGCAGAGCGCAGACAGGCCTCCCTCCAGGACCTGCGCTTGAAGGCGCGCGACCAAGAGGTGAAACTGGAGCTGATGCGCAAGGCTGGAGAGATCACGGCGTGAAGAGGCACATGGCGTGTTTCCTCGAGTTCTGAGAGTGATATCACGTGACTCTAGAGTGGGGGGGGGGGGGAGCTGCTTAATAATGGCGCAGCTGGCTGTGAATGCAGCCGCTAATTGGACCAGCTGGTCATTGCTGCAGTGGTCCACTATACGGCGCAGCTGAAGCCCTTGAAGCAATAAACCTAACCTGGCCGAACATGTCGGACGCTGACACAATAACACATCGTTACCCAATAGCAGTTCAACACAAAAGTAATCCGATCCAAATTAGTTGTAGCAAAGTGGGGGACAAGGGGGGGAGGGTGTTAAACCATCCGGTCAAAAGTGGTGATTGATAAAGATTAAGCCACCCAAGAGGTGGCACGGGCATGAATAGCCCGTAAGGTCAAAAGTGCCTCGCCAGGACATATATATGGCCAGAACTCAGGTGTAAACACGTGCCTCTAGAGAGTGTGTGAATATTAGTGTATGACTCATAGTATAGCGTATGCTGAGTATTAGTCTATAATATATAATTTAATAGTACTTAAGCAATATATATATATATATATATATATATATATATATATATATATATATATATATATATATATATATATATATATATATATATATATATATATATATATATATATATATATATATATATATAATAATATATATATATATATATATATATATATATATATATATATATATATATATATATATATATATATATATATATATATATATATATATATACACACACACACACACAAACAAACCTCGTCCATAACGCATATATAAGTTCCGTCCTGAATCTTGCCTTTTAATTGACAAAATATGTACCAATCCCTTGACAACCACGAAAGGGTTCTATGTGTAAATAGCTTATTTAATAAACTTTTTTTTATTTTATTTTGCTGTTATTTAATAGAAGCCAAAGTATATTTACCTTCAGTCCACTGTGTATATATGAACAGTTTTAATAAACTCGTGAAAAATAAAAATTTTGTGTTCGTTATCCAAGGCTTTTGCTTTCAGAGGTGACCAGAGTGGAGGATGATGGAAGTCGTGGTATATATATTCAATTTTCATCAATTTCTTTCTCTATTATGCACCCCCATATCCGTCCCGTGGGCGGTGGTGGAATGGGTTACAGAAACTTCAGAAAATCAACGTATTTAAGGTGAGGTTAAATGGCCAGTTTTTTTTTTTATCTACTTCATATACCCATCTAACGTGTTCATACAGCCTTGAGCTCAGAACTTGCCTAATCATTTAGTGTGTGTCAGAAAATTAAAATAATAAATTGATCGTTGATTGACAGTCGAGAGGCGGGCCGAAAGAGCAGAGCTCAACCCCCGCAAGCACAATTAGGTGAATATACAGGAATAGACACAAAATATATGGAGTCCACATATATCACAGACACTCTTCCCCTACTAACGACCTGAAATTAACATATCAATGACGTTATATGCTGCAATATTTTAACGCTCAAATGGACATACTGACATATATGTACGTATGCACACATGGGGGTCACAAACACATGTGTACCCACAGGTGCGCTCACACATGCACTCCTCTCATGAGAATACATATATAGGGGGGGGGGAGGGGGGAGCTTTCAAATTTAGTGAAATGAATATGTGACTTCAAACTTACCTCTCTCTCTCTCTCTCTCTTTCTCTCTCTTTCTCTCTCTCTCTCTCTATCTCTCTCTCTCTCTCTCTCTCTCTCTCTCTCTCTCTCTCTCTCTCTCTCTCTCTCTCTCTCTCTCTCTCTCTCTCTCTCTCTCTCTCTCTCTCTCTCTCTCTCGCTCGCTCCCTCTCTCTCTCTCGCTCCCTCTCTCTCTCTCTCTCTCTCTCTCTCTCTCTCTCTCTCTCTCTCTCTCTCTCTCTCTCTCTCTCTCTCTCTCTCTCTCTCTCTCTCTCTCTCTCTCTCTCTCTCTCTCTCACATACTAACACACACATTTAGACGAAGTCATTGAAACTAACACAACACGCAATATCAAGCATAAAAAAAATTAACAAAACCTTGGGAACTAAGCCCCGAAATCATCTCAAGATAACCTCAAGATAACCTCAAGATAACCTCAAGATAACCTCAAGATAACTAAATCCATAAAACTAAGAATAACAGGAAATATATTTTAATTAATTCCTATGATTACACAATCAGTATACTATAAAATATCATTGTCATATTATATGCAATATTATACCCTTATTTCAGAGAAATATATCGTATACACGCTGTATGTAAATATGGTATATCAGAATACAGAATATTACAAGAGAAGAAACAATATTAGTTTATAGTGAATTCCTACTAGCCTAAATTACAATTTATTTTATATTATTTTAAAATATTGTTTTATGGCCCAAAAACTACCTTATTGTTCCGATTAAAAGTAATTGTTATTTTTATTAATATGTTAACAAATATAAATAAAGCAAATATTCGAAAAGCAAAAATCCTCGACCACTATCAGGACGACCTGATAATGGTCGAGGACGACCTGATAATGGTCGAGGACGACCTGATAGCGGTCGAGGACGACCTGATAGCGGTCGAGGACGACCTGATAATGGTCGAGGACGACTTGATAATGGTCGAGGACGACTTGATAGTGGTCGAGGACGACCTGATAATGGTCGAATACGACCTGATAGCGGTCCAGGACGACCTGATAATGGTCCAGGACGACCAGAGAGTGGTCCAGGACGACCTGTTAATGGTCGAGGACAACCTGATAGTGGTCCAGGACGACCTGATAGCGGTCCAGGACAACCTGATAGTGGTCCAGGACGACCTGATAGTGGTCCAGGACGACCTGATAGTGGTCCAGGACGACCTGATAGTGATCCAGGACGACCTGATAGTGGTCGAGGACGACCTGATAGCGGTCCAGGACGACCTGATAGTGGTCCAGGACGACCTGATAGTGGTCGAGGACGACCTGATAATGGTCCAGGACGACCTGATAGTGGTCGAGGACGACCTGATAGTGGTCGAGGACGACCTGATAGTGGTCCAGAACGACCTGATAATCAAGACCTCTCAAGACCAATAATCCTGAGAATAAGTCATAGCATCATTAACGATTTCACATTAATAATTTGCATAATTATTAATTAAATTACTTAAAGGTGTGATATAGTAACCATATTTGTAATTTGAAAGAAAATATAAAAATATTGCTTAATACAATAAGAAAATTATAATTATTTTAAACCTAAACAATAGAATCAATTTGGGTAATATTAATAAAATAATCATTTTTTTTACTCTAAACAATAAAGTAAGTTTTGGGTAATATATAAAAAATTTATATATAAAATAAATTATATCGTAAGTTAGTAAAAATTCAATATATCCGGAAAAAATATATATAAAAATATTCAGCATTTTAGGCAATAAATTTGGTGTTGGAAATGGCTTCCACAACTTTTTTTTTTCACTATGTTACATTTGTTGATTACCCTCAGTATCTTGCATGTTGTGATCATGTCCAATCTGTTTCTTCTGTCCTGTAGGGTTGTGAGATGGCAGGTTGTGTAAATGCTGTTGTTTGGCAGCATTTATGTGTGCCTCCGGTGGTAGTGTTGAAAATCTATCCTACCTTTCTATCTATCCATCTATCTATCTATCTATCTATCTATCTATCTATCTATCTATCTATCTATCTATCTATCTATCTATGAAATTCTATCCTATCTACATTTCTTTCCGATTCCTGTAGCTGCTTTAACCCCTGAAAGTGTAGATGCCTATTGGTGTCGTCTTTTTCATTTTTTCTTTTCTTCATTACTTTACAAATGTTGGGATTGAATTCCAACAACCACTTCTTTTGGTTTGTTTTTTTTTTTTTTTGCCTGCAACTGGAGTTTGCCAAAGTCTTCCTGTGAGTGCCTGCAGTCATCCTGATTTTCACATTCTTACATCAGCTTTGCATCATCTGGAAACATTAACACATACAAGCTCACTCCCTCGAGTGAGGAGTTCACATAAGTTAGCAACAGCAGCGGTCCCAGAACCAAGCCTTGTAGGACCCCACTTGATTCAGGCGTCTAATATACAAGTCTTTAAGATACGCATATACGATATGGGGAGCCGGGCTACCGAGCGGACAGCACGCTGGGCTTGTGATCCTGTGGTCCTGGGTTCGATCCCAGGACCACAGGGATCGAGAAACAATGGGCAGAGTTTCTTTCACCCTATGCCCCTGTTACCTAGCAGTAAATAGGTATCTGGGTGTTAGTCAGCTGTCCGGCCTGCTTCCTGGGGGTGGAGGCCTGGTCAAGGACCGGGCCGCGGGGACACTAAAGCCCCGAAATCATCTCAAGATAACCTCAAGATAACGGTGGCACTACTGTTTAATAATGGCTAAATATCCTCAGTTTTATTAGTGAAATAGAGTGAAATTAAAATTAAACTTGAAGAAACAAATAAATAAAAAATAATAAAATAATAGAAGAAACGGATAATAATAAAGAGTAAGAAGAGAAATGAAATAAACACATCAGCAAGACGGTACATATCACAGCCCGTCCTCATCAACAAAGGCCAAATACTCGTTAATCCAGCCGCCAAATATCCCCTTGTTTACAATTATAAAACGTTTAACAAATGACTCGCAACTGATAACATTTGAACGTGTCTCGAACATTGCTTCGCTGACTTCCTCGATCCTGTTCGAATCGTAACCCTGAATCGAATCGCAATGCTTCACACATGTTCGACAAATCAGCCCGTCCTCCAAACAAAGATCCAAAAGTGATTCCATCCACCCGCCAAACCCCCTGTTTATGAATGAAAAGCGGTTTACACACGACTCACAACTGATTTCGTTCGAACACTTCCGGAACAAGTGCTTCACTGACGAGTTTTGTTCGAACCACAACGCTATAAATGCTTCACCCACGTACTACAAATACAAATAATCGCCAACCGAACCTAAATACCTAACCTAACCTAACCTATATATGCACAATATGCTAATATATTATAATACTAATTTATATTTGAGAAAATTCTTGTTTTGAATGAACAGCAAGTTAAAAGTTATGAATGCGTCTGTAGGGTCGACCGCTGGATGTAATGGACTTGAGTCGAGGACGAGTTGCGACAAATACAAAATAATTACCAACAGAAGCCCCAAAAAAACCTAAACAAACAAATTTTATCCCAAACTATACACACAATTTGAAAGTAAAATAATATCAATCTATATAGGAAAAGTTACCGATTTTGAATACGTTACAATTGACGAATGAGAATAAGGGGGGGTCGGCCGTTGCATGGACTCGCACAGCCAGAGGAAACAAGTGACCACAGCCTGAAGCCCTCACGAAGACACCGGGGCAGGGTAAGACACCGGGGCAGGGTAAGACACCGGGGCAGGGTAGGGGGGCGGTGGAGTGTGTACATCAGCCTGCGATCTGATCTTCCTATGGGACATGGTTGGGGAGAGGTCAGCCTAGAGTCTACGCAGAGACATCGCGCGCGTGGAACGAGCCCAAAATACGAAGAGATAAACGCCAGATAACCGCAAGACCTGCCCAGATGATTTAC